GGAGGGACAGAGCAAACTTTTGGCAAATTAAAACAAAGACCAACTAATTCAGGTCACTGTTTGGGTTTTAAAAAATCCATCTCTTATCCATTCGTTCTGATATATTTACTTTAGATAAATTATCAGTTTCCATTATTTGATCTCACAATCAGTGCACAGCTAGAGAAAAATGGAAATTTTTAAAAAGATAAATTTAGATGTTAAAAAAAATCACCTTTGTTGATAAAAAGAAGATTCTGTTATACTATGGTAGGTTTTAAACACTACAGCTTTTCACATTTTCTAGCTTAAAGAAATAAAAACGTTTTTTTTTTTTATCTAAATCTTTATTAGAAGAAAAAAAACATTTAAAACGATGAGTAACAGCAAATTTCATTAAATATTAAACATTTTAGTTATCAAAGATATTTAGACAATATGTTCCTAATATTTCTGCACAGCAGAAGCACAATGATTATAGAGCTCAGACTGTCATGTGCTCATGTGAGTTTTTTTGGCATAAAAGAATATCTAAAGTCACATTCAAACAAATGTGATCATAGATAAGCTGACAGTAACTTACTGTTGATTCTCAAAGCTTTCACAAATTATCATATTTGATGGACATTCCCTTGGGGTAAATACTTTAACACTGAGTAACAAACTGAATTCATTTTCTTTCAAGTTAGTAGTACTAGTAAAATTATTTAAAATTTAATTACAAATTATGTTCTGTTTATATTAGCACAATAAAAGTTAACATTATAAATAAACTGATTATTTCATATCAAAAGTTAGAAAATGAAATAAAATACATAGAACACTCCTTGTTGATAATAATCATTTAAAACAGAGCTAATTCAGTACATGACAGCTATGAGCACCCTTTGCAGGGGTAGAGTTTCCCTTTGTAATTTTTCAAAGTGTCCCTTTCCAAAATGTATAAAACACTGAGAAATGTAGTCTTACACCTATTGTATTTTCAAAGATCTACTATAGAAAAGATTAGATTTTTAAACTTCTCACTTTTAGTGTAAAAAAAAAAATCAACAAGCATCCTTTCAGTTTTTTTTTCTTGCGTGTAGTACACATTTGTGAATGTCCACTAGGCGCAAGGGAAATTGTTTATGCTGCAAAACGTACTCTACATAGTCACTAGGATCTCAAACATACTGAAATGACAAGTGGTTTCCAGTCAGTGAGCTAAGAGGGAAACAAATGCAAGAAGACTTGTTTCAATCACTAAACATTGCAGGTTGTGTGTGTGTGTGTGTGTGTGTGTGTGTGTTTAAACGATGTTTGTAAACTTGCCCACAAAAGCTGGGTAATATTAAACAGCCAGTAAGGCACTTTGTCAGAGAGGACGAAGTAGTAAAGGCTGGATGGTTCGCAATTTGTTTAATAGGAAACATTCTATACTTAGAGCAAAATCTGGAGCAGGCAGTCCTTTTACCAATTTACTGTCAAACAGGAGTTGGGAAAACTTTAAAATTTTCTCTTTCAGTTTGTTTACCAATTTTCCCTGCAGAAGTCTTTTAGCTGCAATTTAAAAAATATATTAGGAGCTATCAATTCAAATAATGTATCATTTTTCAATCCAGTATTTAAAAGAATATGAACATATTCACTGGTGTTTTCAAAACATCCAAGCCACTCTATTTAAAAATGAATTACAAAACAGAAGATCTTAGTATAAAAATGTACCATGTTATTGACAATTCCCTTGCGACTTCAGATGGCTTCACATATTACAGTATAAGCTTTGGTATTAAACATGCAAATAAAAGCCAACAAGGTCATGAATACAGTTTTCCAACACAAAGCACTTATGAAGCTAGCGTTGTGCAGACACAGCAGATGAAGATTTGGTAACACACCGCTGCACGATGACCACAGTTTGCACTTCTAAGGCTTCTTAGTTTGCATACTTGGCTCGTTCAGAATCTTCAGGAGAGACTGACTCATGTAATAGGGCCTTTCAGTAGAACCATCGTTTCTTTCCATATCTTCCACTAGGAGGAAGAATGGCACAGAGTAAATATCAAAGCAAAACTGTACGAGAAGTAACGTCGCCATCTACTGCATACTTGCTTTACAGCAGTTTAAGATTTTTTTTTTTTAATAGCACAGTTTTGGCATCAACATTATTGTAAACATACCTATGAGAAAACAAGCAGCCCTTGTTATTATGTTAGTAAAATATTATCTCATTGTGTGTACCAGCTCATATTCTGTCAATATGCATGCTTCTCAGCTGCATGATTGAGGAAATAACTTTTACCTTCTTTTGGATAGCAAACTTAAAAAAGAAAAAAAAAATCCCCCAGGAATTTCTAAATTCACCTTCAAATTCCTGAAAAGTAGTATGTATTCAATTCACTTCCCAAATTACCATATGTGTCAAAATTTCTTTTGTTTTGCAATCAACAATTTATGTAGCATAGTTTTAAAAAATAAGATTTGTGAAATTTCAGTATATTTTAAACTGCATGTTTTGAAAAAAATGTTTTTTGCAGTTATGACTTTAATTGCTTTGTAAGATAACAGCTTCTATTTTTCCCCCTCAAAAACAATACTCATTTTTACTATCAATTATACAAAAAGTAACTAGTGGGGAATATTTTTTCTGACTAGAAATAAGCCCATATATAGTTAAAACTTCTACACTTAAAGGAAGAATCTCTAAGTAGTAAAGAAGTTATTTAAAAATATTGAACCAAACAGCATTCCTTTTCCTATGATTTGCACCAAGGGGTTATATCCTTAAAATATAGCCAGTTTTAGAATGTGCCTCCATTTAGGCAGTGAACACTTTTACTCTAGTGAATTTTTTGGTCTAATCAGCATATATAATGTTAAACATTTAATATATGGGCCCCATCTAGTCTAAGATTCTAAATGCAGAAGTTGTGACTATTAGAAGTCTCCAAATTAATCTTTGTCTTAATTTTCTAACTCCTGGAACAGCAAAGAATGTAAGGAGAAAATAAGCCAATCAGTTTCTCGCATGTTGATTTGTATTTTATTCAAGTGATTTTCCAAGTTTTATGTGTATCAGAATCAGCTAGAGAATTTTATAATAATTCACAAGCTGCCCTGCCCCCAAATACAACATCTCAGAATTTCTTAAGGAAGGGGCACAAGCATCTATATTTATAACAAGTTCTCAGAGCGATTCTGATGCATACAAAACAATTTTAATTGTTTTGTTTCATGATTATGTATCAACATTAGACTACTCCTAAAGGGGATTTATTTCCTATCACTTTTCAACACTTGAGAGGTAACTATTTACTATATCTCAGTTGTAACTTCTGTACTATTGACTAATAGTTATAACCATCCAGAAAGATAGATTATCACTCTTCTCTGAATTATGATTCAAGGAGAATGAGAGTGAAGAAGGCCCTTGGCCAAGATGTGAAGACAAGTGACACTTTTGACTATAATGCTCTCAAGAAAATAAGAACAAGATGGTGGCCGTTATAAAGACCACTGTTTTGAAAATCTTCCTTATTTAAGCTGTCACAGAGTTAGTCTACATCTAGGTTCCCATACTTCAGAATCATTAAAGAAATTAGTTTGTATATTAACTTGTGGCACAATGATACATTTCTGACTCTTTTTAATAAAAATTCATGGATCATATTTAGATCAAAATGTTAGATCAACACGTTCCTTTCTGTCAACACTTAAATAATTCTTATACACAAGTTTAGTGTAAAAGCCAAAACAATACTACTTGATTAAGTGTTCCTTTTGGGGTAACTTTTATACCGTTAGCCAAATCATACAAACGTGCACACAGAGATTGGGCAGGAAAAGTGCTTGAGTGTCTGATTTATGCTTTGCTCCACCATACAAAAGACTAAGGGGATGGTTGCCAGAAACCAACTTGTTGCTCTGGCCAGCAGGGGTGGAGTATAAAAATAACTTTCCTGCTAAGCTCGGAGGGAGATTTCCTAACCCACAGTATATACCCCTGTAAAGGTACCAGACAAGGTACCTATGGAGTGCTTAGGTAAATCTGAAGGTCTTACTCATCTATTCTCTTTCCCCAAAGTTGAACTCAAACTAAACCTTTTGTAGAATGAAGCCAAACAATGTCTTTAATCTAGAAAAACAGGTTTGCTTATAAAAACAGGTATGCTTATAAAAGATATAATCACTCTTCTGAAACAAATCCATTCCAGTTTTCTATATGGCAGAAATAGGGAAATAGGAATTTGTCTCTGTTTGGGTTAGAGACAAGAGGAATGCATTACATGGCCATTTCAGTTTTGTTCAGAATACTTTCACAGTGGCCAGAGGTTCATATTATTGGAAATGGTATTCCAGAACTCAGATTCAGCTTCACTATGAATATAATTACACTAAAACAAAGTGGGCTATGAAGGTTTCACAGTAATTTTTACCTAATAATGCTCTCTATGGAACTTGCATAACATTAACATCTCTATGTATATTATGGTCTTGATTCATGTACTGAAATATACTTCCTAGAGAAACATGAATACAAATTTAATCACAGTTTAGATAGCTGTCCACTAGCTTGAGCAGCTATATAGGCATAGTACCATATTTACGAATTTAGTACCATAAGCTGGTTAACTCTATCAATCTTTTTTATGGCTAATTGACGATACATTTATAGTGCTTTCAAAAATTGCCTGAATATCTTTTACAAACACATTTATAAAAAGAAAGGCTATCAAAGTGCTGCAATGGGAAACAGCACTCTGAGTTATAAAAGTATTGTTTAAAACACTTTCAGCTATAGGCTTTAAAAATATGTTTGACATTTACACCTTGCTCTTCAGCTGGGACCACAGTCTATAAAGTATCCTAGTTCACAGAGGCTACTGTCATCAAATGTCTGTCACCTCAAGTGGTACCAGGTTCTGGCTTTTCAGCAATAAGCATAGAAATTTCACATTACTCAAAAGCCTCATTTTTGAGTTACACATGATCTAATTTACAAAACTTCTATTTAAAAATGAATGTCACTGTTTGGAGCTTTTCTACTCTTTCTGCTTCTGGGAAACTAGTTGCATCTTGTTCAGAGTTCCGTGCAGGGTAGGGGCTAGGAAGTAGGGTTTTTCTGTGGATCCATCATTTCTTTCCAGATCTTCACCTGTATATGCAGCAGCCAAAGCAGGCAAAAGCAGCAAGCGGCAGCACAATTAAATATTTTTAGAAATTGGAGAGTCAAACAGGGAAAAATCAGAGAAATTAGTGTTAGAAAGTCAAAAATAAGACAAATTAGTACCATTAAGTTGCTGATGCTCAACAAAGAAATTTCAAATTCTGACAGGAAGTACTAAAACTTCCTAAATCCCCCCCAATGCTCAAAGAGGTTTATTTTGGTAGTGTAAAGTCTAATAAGATCTTTCATGTCCTTTCAAAAGTATTATCTCTCAGTGGTGACTGTTCATTTCAGAACGGTAAAATGTCACATCCTCGGAGATGAATCTGAACAAAAAGTGTATGATCCTGTGATAAATGTAGAACAATAATTCATTTTCAGAGTTCAAAGTCACTTTTAATGGTAGTCCACACCCTAATGTTACAGATGAAGAAACGGGAGGCCCGGCTATACGAAATGATTCTCCTGAAGTCAAAAGCTCTGAGGCAATCGGAATGAGGTGAGGATCCAGCCTCTTGTCACTTAGTTCAGTTCTTGTCCTACTTAACTATATAAGGCATCCTGTTTTAAATCCCTTCAGATTGCATTAGAAAACTAATGTTCTCTGACTTCACGTAATACATGAATTTAACTTCCTATTGTGCCTAGGCTAGTAATTAAATGATGGTGTGTTCACTAACACATATTGGGTGTTTCAGGGAAAGCATCAGAAGGATGCTGAGAAGCAAAGACAAGTCAGCGTGTAATTAGCTTTCCTAAAAGCTACATGCAATTTGCAGCAGATAATATCTATCAATAAACATACAAGTACAACTTAATTCTATGTTTTCACTGGTATAGTAAAAAAGATTTTGTTATTCATAGTCCTTATTATGACAAAGGATAAGAAATATATAAAATCATATAGGATAATTATGGATTTATGGAATAAATCTAAATTATTTTTCATCCTTTTGGGAATGGTTGGATGATTTAGATTTTTGCATTAGACTTCATAGTGACCTTCCTTACATACAAAATGAAAAGCTAAGGGGGGAATATGATGGACACTGAACATTTTTGTTCTTTCACCTTCATCATATTTCTATATGATAGATCATATATCTATATTGTTATTACCATTTGAGGCATTGTTAGGATGCCTAGTATGGATCACACTAATAATCATCTACAACTACTACTGTTTTCTCATACTGGGACCAGACTTCTCATTGCCTTGTAATGTAAAAAAGATGCCATGTTTCAGGGCACCTGGGTGGCTCAGTCAGATAAGCATCCGACTTTGGCTCAGGTCATGATCTCAGGGCTTGTGAGTTTGAGTCCCGTGTCGGGTTCTGTGCTGACAGCTCAGAGCCTGGAGCCTGCTTTAGGTTCTGTGTCTCCTTGTGAGCTATGCCCCAAAATAAATAAATAGTCAGTTTTATACAAGTGGATCACTCAATAATGCCTTCACAGAATGTTTTCTCTGCTTTTCTTAAGAGCAATGTGCCAGAGAAATGATCTCTCAGAAGGTACAGCTGTATGGCTAACAATTTGTTCTTTCATCCTCAGAGCCTACTTTCTCTAGCCTGAAAATGAAGGCCAGATCAAGCTCCTAAGGTGCTAGGTTCTCCAGGGATTTTAAGAGGAGATACTGATAGAAAACCTATCCATCCTGAGTTACACATGCCATCCAGAAGCACAGCAAAGTCAGTGATCAAAGCTCATAGGAAGTATTTTAACTCTAAGCATCAGAACTGATCTGTTTCCTGGACATACTCTTCTATGAATCCTATCTGTCTAGTATGAATTGGCTGTATGTGTCTTTGAAACCATTGCCAGCTTGGCTCTATCAGAATCTATAAAGGCTCTCTTCAAAGAATTCCTAAAGTCCAGTCTCAAAGCCCAGTCACATTCTCAGTTCTGTTAATAGAACACAACAGAATCCACTCATTATCATAAATTTGAAAACACTAAGAAATACTGAATTTGAAAGTACTAACACCATGCCATGAAGCCTGAGGTTCATTTCAGTGGCTGACCCTGCTGTGCTTTGCAAACTCCATTCTCTCAGATGTTAAGGTTTAAAGAGCATCTACTAAACAATGTCTCTTTTCAAATAAGCACTATTTGGTAGTTGCAGCCAGGTCATAGCAAATCCACAAGCCAGCTAAGGACATGGGTCTTAACCTTCTTATCTTTCAGTTACTCTCCAAAGGGGGGAAACACATATACTGAAAACTTACAGAAGCAGATGAAAATTGTATCAACACACATTGCATAGACGCTGAAGAACCCATGTGCAACTAGGTAAGATCCAATAATGACTGTCTGTAAATGAGTAAAGAAAATGAAGATGTTATTAACTCATCCAGAAGAACAATAATGCAGCTTTAAATGAAAGTCATGAAGAGAAACTTTGAAGTACCCTATGTTAGAAGATATTTCAATATAGAGACCAAGGAAATCTACCTGCCAGTTGTTTTACTCCTATCCCAAATGCCCACCAAAAATATCCCAATTTTTTTTTAAGGCAGTAAAGCATGGGAGTTAATGTAACACACTGCCTAGGTTTGAATCACATGTCAGGCTCTCAGTTAACAAGTTACTTAACCTCACTGTGCTTGCTGCCTCCCATAAAAAGTTATTGGTGGGCAAGGGAAGAATGTGAATAGCAATAATATTTATGACATATGGAGTTAATTATTATAGATACTGCAGGGTTCTGACATATGGAGTGAGTCAATTGTTATACATACTGCAGGGCTCCTCCCAGGTCCTCTCCAGCTGCTGCATCTATCCCCCAGTTAGGAATGTAGGCTGCTGATGACTAAGCAGGTTCCCTCATTAGGAATTGCCCTCACTGCAGGGACTGCCTCACCCAAGCTTATAGCCCCATCTAGGGGACGACCCCTGGGTAACAGCTGCCTGATGCAGCATGCAAATTCTTTTGTCAGAACTTCCTGTAATTATGTCTGAGGGCTCAGCTATAAATGCAGCATCGGTCAGCTTCTTCCTTTGCCCATGTCTGCCTCCTTACTTCCTTTTTCAAGGGTATCTCAGGAGAGCACTTCCTAATAAACCTTCCACATGCAATCCTCTCTCTCAGAGGTTGTTTCTAAGGAATACAATCTAAAGCAGAATAAGGCTTGGCACGAAGTAAGACCAATAATGTTAGCTGTCTTTATTTTTCTAATTCCTTTTTGTTTTTTCTTCTGTCATCTCTGATCAATCAGTCAGTGTTACCCAGTTGCTATGAATGAATTGTGACCTCTCAAAATGCATATGTTGAAATCTAATCCCCAATATGATGTTATCTCGAGGTGAGGTTTGAGGGAGGTAATTAGGTCATGAGGCTGGGCCTTAATCAGTGGGATTAGTGCCATTGTAAGAGGAGACAGGAGAGATGATGACCTCTCTCTCCACCATATTAGGATACAACGAGAAGGTGTCCCTTTGCAAACCAGGAAGAGAGCTCTCACCAGGAACTGAGTCTGTGGGCACTTTAATCTTGGGCTTCTTAGCCTTCAGAACTGTGAGGAATAAATTCTTGTTTAAGCCACCCAATCTATGATATTTTTGTTATAGAAGCCTGAAGTAAGACACCAGATCTTACCAGCAAAGGTACCCAGTAGTAATTTAAAGATGTTGGTCCTTCTATAATCGTTGGCAATCTTTGTGTGAAGAGTAAGAAGGCCAGCACACCTACATTGGAAAGGCAGAACATGTCTATTATGTACTTGCAAAGGAATAGTTTTTTGTAGTAAAGGAGTTTCTCCTAATACCTTCTAAAGTTATGTTTATTATTATTACTTACCTACACATCCAGTAACTAGAATTTTCCCCAGGATTAGTACAAAGTCTGTAACATTATCCATAACTGCAACTCTAAGAATCAGAAAAAAGAAAGTATAATTTTGTGTTTAAATTACATTTGTTACTTGAAATTTATTAAAGTAAATAATTCATGGGGTGCCTAGGTGGTTCAGTTGGTCGAGCGTCCGACTTCAGCTCAGGTCATGATCTTCCTGTTTCTGAGTTCGAGCCCCGCATCAGGCTCTATGCTGATAGCTCAAAGCCTGGAGCCTGTATTCGTATTCATTCTCTCTCTCTCTCTCTCTCTCTCTCTCAAAAATAAATAAACACTAAAAAAAATTTTAAGTATTTAAATTTTTTGAGCTCATTTTGATATGTCTTTGATGGAAATTCTATTTGGCATTTGTTCAGTGCAAGGAATGAAGACAGCCTCTGGGGATTAAGTTCTGACCTAATTTTGATGAAGTAAACAGAAGATGGCATTGTCAGGCACTATTGGTGTCAGCCTATTTTGAAGCCTAAGACACCCTGACTCCTGAGGATGTTTCATATCTTCCCTGGTTTTGCTATTCAGACTCTGTCAATTTTGGGAGAGGGAAATTGCCAGAAACATGATGTTCGTGTAGAGAATTTCTTGACTAGTGGGGATAATAAAACTGTATAAAATGCCAGTGGGTGTGAAGATATAGATGAATGAGGGAAGCAACAATTCTAAGATATAAAAAGAAATAGTATGAGAGAGTAGATTTAAATCTATCAAATTGAAAGATAATATTCATGTCTAAAAGACCACCATCACTTTAAATAACATGTGAAGTATATGATGCTCAAGGTTCACCAAATTGTCTTTTGCAAACTCAACCTGATTACTTACTTACTTTAAAACATTTCTCATCAGCAGATTGAAAGCCTCTCTTGCTGACTTGCAGAAGTTTTTGCCATATATTGCAATCTGAAGAAAACAGTTGATATTATTCTAGAGTCAGTAACATACCCTAACAAGACCAATAGACAACCCAGTGAGAGGAAAATGAATTCATTCTCTTGTCACCCAAACAGCTACTCTCATTCCTCTTTCCAGCATTTGGGTATGTGAGAGACATGGGAACTATGTGTTCTCAACTCTGCACAGCTGTCAGGGGCATTGACAATAAGGTGCACTTCAGATGCTATATGCTTGTAAACTCCATGGGAATTAGACCACACCAAACAGAAGCATGTCTTTTTCTCAAATATCAGGACATGGCTTCTGTCTTTGAAGTGTTTTGGCTAGGGTTTATTGTAAATGGGTTAAGTGTTGCAGCATTCAAATTAATAATTACTCTCAGGAAACCAATGCCTTTTGATACATTTGATTTACTCATTAGAAGATTCAATACAGTATTCTCACTGGAGGTAAATTAATGACAGTTTGAATCTTCATGACTATTTGGATCACTCCTGCAGACTCTGTGTCATGGTGATAACAAACCAGTATCATAAGGTTGTAGTTGCTAAATTTTAGAGGAATTATACTTTTGGTGCTCCTATTTTAAAAAATCTCTTCAGTAGCTTCCCTATTCCCATAGGAAATAAGTAACATATTCAGTTAGGCCCGGTCAATGCCCACACATTTCAACATAAGATTTCTTAAAAAGACCATTCTGTATGTGAATCCCAGGAAGGTATTTTTTCTTTTCCCTCAGAGTGATGCATAGACTAAGCTTTCTTCCCACTAAGCTATGTCAAAGACACACAAAATCTTTTCAATCTAGCACATTTTAAAATTTCTAAGGTAAATATTTTCCCTCTTTAAAAAGATATTAACAGTAATATGAAGTACAGTTAACATACTACTCAACTAGGAAAGCATGGCCCTGAATCATGCATTGGATTCACAAATCCTTATATCATCATGGTGGTAAATTCAACTGCATGATGTAAAAAGTGTTAGAGATGGGAAATGTAGACATGGGGTTGGGGTTTGCAAAGAAGAAACTTAGTAAATAAAAAGTAATCTACTTACCATAATATAGGCATTTCTGTTCAAAAACTTTACCACTGTTTCCAAACACCAGAAACAGCATTTCAGGCAGCATTGTAGAAATTTAGAAATGTTGTTCTGGGCCTCTATGAAAATGAGATATTCAAATTGATGAATTATTTGTGACTAAACTCTAGGAATCAAAAACACAAAAGCTTTAAAAACAGGCTTTTGATTTTTTTCAATTGTGGTAAAATATACATAAATTTACCATTTTAACCATTTTAAGTGTATTAATTCAATTGTGTAAAATACTGTACAGTTCAGTTCAATCCAGCAAGTGCATTCACAGTGTTGTACCACCATTATCACTATCCATTTCCAGAACTTTTCATCTCAAATAGAGACTCTGTGCCTATTAAACAATCACTTCATTCTCCCCTTTTCCCAGCTCCTGGTAACCTCTATTGTATTTTGTATGAATTTGCCTCTTCTAGATACCTCATGTAAGTGAAATGATACAATATTTATCTTTTTGTGTCTTGCTTATTTCACTTAACAAAGTTTTTAATGTTTATCATTTCATTCCTTTTTAGAGCCTAACAACATTCCATTGCAGGTATATATCACATTTTGTTTATCCTTTTATCTGTTAATGGAAATTTGGGTTTTTCTACCTTTTGGCTACTGTGAAACTTGTGTGCAAGTCTCTGTTTCAATTCCTGTTTTCAATTCTTTTGAGTATATAGCTGTAGAAGTGAAATTGCTGGATCATATGGCAATTCTATCTTTAGCTTTCTGAAGAATCACCATAATGTTCTCCACAATGGCTATACCATTTTACATTTCCATCAGCAATATACTAAGGTTCCTAGTTTATCTTCATCCTACAAATATTTGTTATTTTCATTTTTTAAAATAGTAGCCATTCTAATGGATGTGAAGTGGTACCTCATTACAGTTTTGATTTGCATTTCCCTAATGAATAATACTGAGCATCTTTCCATGTGCTTATTCGTGATTTGTGTATCTTCTTTGGAGCAATGTATATGCAAATCCTTTGCAGAAGGGACCAAGATGGTGACATAGGAGGTTCCTGAACTTCCCTCCTCCTTCAGATGCACTTAAAGTACAGCTACATGTGGAACAATGTCTTCTGAGAAAAAAACTGAGACTAACTGAATGACTCCTACCCCATCAGGAAACTAAGAAAATGACCATAGTGAAACGGGTAGGAAAGGTTTAGACAAACTTCCTGTAAAGCCAATTTCTGGCACAGAACCATACTATAAGGAAGATACCCCCCAATATCAGGCTCTTCCTGAGGAGTGGAAGGTTTGGACAGCACATATAGGATTCCAACTTTTAAGGTAACCACACAAAGCACAGGCTGCCAAAACTCTTAGCTCTGAAAGCCAGTGGGGTTTATAACCACAAGTCCCACAGCACTATGCAACACAAATAGGCAGTTCTGTACAAGCACATATGGTAGCGCTCATTGTGGTTGGACAGTTGAATTCATCCAATTAGAGAAGCAAAAAGAGAAAAGAATGGATAGAGTGATGGATGTATTGGACACCACCAAACAGACCAATATGGAGGTGCCAGGAGGAGGAGAGAAAGAAAGGGGCAGAAAGTTTATTTAAAGAAATAATGGTGGAAAACTTCTCTAATCTGGAAAAACAAACAGACATCCAGATCCAGAAAGCCTAAAGAATACCAAAAAAGATGAATCTAAAGAGACCTACACTGAAACACACAAAATTAAATTTTCAAAAGTTGAAAGGTAGTTAAAAGCAGTGGTAGAAAAGTGACTTTTACCTCCTTCCGTAAGACTATCAGATTTTTCAGCAGAATACTTATAGGCCAGAAAAAAAGTGATGAAAGAAAAAAAAACTGCCAAGGAAGAAACTCAATGTGGCAAAATTGTCATTCAGAATGAAGGACAGATAAAGTTTTCCTCACAAAAGCTGAAAGAGTACATCACCACTAGAGCAGCCTTACAAGGAATGTAAAAGGGAGTTCTTTAGGCTGAAACAAAAGGATGCTAATTGATAGCTGAAAATATGTGAAAGTATAAAACTCACTGATAAAAGGTAAATAGTTAAATTCAGAACACTCTAAAATTGTAATGGTGGCAGGTAAATCACAACTCTAGTATAAAGATTAACATACTGGGGCGCCTGGGTGGCTCAGTCGGTTAAGCGTCCGACTTCAGCTCAGGTCACGATCTCACGGTCCGTGAGTTCGAGCCCCGCATCGGGCTCTGGGCTGATGGCTCAGAGCCTGGAGCCTGCTTCCGATTCTGTGTCTCCCTCTCTCTCTGCCCCTCCCCCGTTCATGCTCTTTCTCTCTCTGTCTCAAAAATAAATAAACGTTAAAAAAAAAAAAAAACATTTAAAGATTAACATACAAAATATTAAAGATAACTACAACTACAATACAAAATATAAAAATATGTAAATTGTGTCACCAAAAACACCGTAGCATAAAATGTGGGGAAAGTGTAAAAATGTAGAGTGTTTGTACATATTCAAAATTAAGTCATCAGCTTAAAATAGATTGATAGAACTATAAGACATTTGACATAAAATATACAGCCAGAAAATAACAAAATAGCAATACAAAGTCCATAACTATCAATAATGTAAATGAACTAAATTCTCCAATCAAAAGAGTGAATGGATTAAAAAAAAAAAAAACTCAACTAAAAGCTACCTACAAGAGTCTCAGTTCACCTTTAAAAACACAGGTTTTGAAATGAAAGTGAGGGATTGGGAAAATATTTTTCATGCAAAAAGAAACCAAACTAAAGTGGGAATAGGTTTACTTATATCACACAAAATAGACATTAAGCCAAAAACTGTAACATGAAGGCCATTATACAGTGATAAAGGAGTGTGTTCATCAAAAGAATATAAAAATTATATTTATGTACCCATCATTGGAGTACCCATCATTTATAAATGCAAAAATCCTCAACAAAATATTAGCAAACTGTATTCAGTAGTATATTAAAAGGATAATACACCAAGATCAAGTGGATTTATCCAAGGGATATAAGGATGGTTCAATACATGCAAATCAATAAATGTGATGTACCACATTAACAAAATGAAGGATAAAAATCATCATCATCTCAGTAGATGCAGAAAATTAATTTGACAAAATTCAACCTCCTTTCATCATAAAAACTCACAATAAATTGGTTATATACGTCCTCAACATAATAAAAGCCATATATGACAAGCCTACAGCTAACATCATAATCAATGGTAAAAAGCTGAAAGCCTTTGCTCTAAAATCAGGAACAAAACAAGGATGTCCATTCTTGCCATTTTTATTCAACATAGTAATGGAAATCCTAGTCAGAGCAATTAGGCAATAAAACAAGTAAAAGGCATTAAAATTGGAAAAGTTGAAATAAAATTGTCTTTGCAGATAATACAATAGTATTTATACAAAACCCTATAGTCCAGCAAACAAATACTATTAGAACTAATAAATGAATTCAATGAAATATAGGAAACAAAGCCAATATTCAAAATTCAGCTGCATTTCTATATACTAACAACCAACTATTGGAAAGAGAAATTAAGAAAACAATCCCATTTAAAACTGCACCAAAACCAAGAAAATACCTAGAAACAAAATTAACTAAGGTGAGGAATTACTTGTGTATTGAAAACCATAAGCCATTGATGAAATAAAGATACAAATAAATGAAAATATTCCATAGTCATGAGTTGGAAAAATTAATATTAAATGTACATAATATCCAATACAATCTACAAAAATCAATGTAATTCCTATCAAAATTCCAATGGAATTTCTCACACAAATGGAAAAAACAATCCTAAAATTTGTTTGGAACCACAAAAGACTGAATAGCCGAAACAATTAAGAAAGAAAAACAAAGCTGAAGGCATTACATGTCCTGATTTCAAACTATATTACAACGCAATGGTAATCAAAATAGTATATAGCACTGGGAGAGAAATAGACACACGAATGGAACAGAATAAATGGAAAGCCCAGAAATACACCCATGTATATATGCTCAATTAATTTTCAAAGGAGTCAAGAATATACAGTGGAGAAAGGTTAGTCTCTTCAATTCAGTTGTTTTGGGAAAACTGAATGTCCACATGCAAAAGAGTAAAATTGGACCCTTATCTTAGACCACACAAAACAACTCAAAATGGATGAAAGATTTGAATGGAGACCTGAAACCATAAAACTCCTAGAAGAAATCATAGGGTAAGCTCTTTGACATTGGTCTTAGAAATGACTGGATTTAATACCAAAAGCAAAGGCAACAAAAGAAAAAATAAACAAGTGGGACTGCATCAAACTAAAAAGCTTCTGCACAGCATAGGAAACCATCAACAAAATTAAAAGGCAATCTATGGAATAGGGGAAAATATTTGCAAACCATATATGTGATAATGAGTTAATATCCAAATATACAAGGAACTCCTAGAACTTAATAGCAAAAACCAAAAAACAATAACCCAATTTAAAAAAATGGGGGGCGGGGCACCGGGGTGGTTCAGTCAGTTGAGCATTCAAGTTTGCCTCGGGTCATGATCTCATTTGTGAGTTCAAGCCCCACATTGGTCTCACTGCTGCCTGTCCGTGCAGAGCCTGCTTTGGATCCTCTGCCCCTCTCTTTCTGCCCCATCCCCACTGCACTCTCCCCAAAATAAATACGTATTTTTAAAAAATGGGCAAAGGACCCAGACAGACATTTTCCCAAAAAAGACATAAAGATAGCTAATAGGTACATGAAACAGTGCTTGACATTACTACTTATCAGAGAAAGTAAATCAAAAATCACAATGAGATAGAAGATAGGATGTCTGTTATCCAAAAGACAAAAGATAAGGATGTGGAGGTGTGGATGTGGAGAAAAGGGAATTCTTGTATATTGTTGGTAGGAATGTAAATTGGTACATCTACTATGGAAAACAGTATGGAAGTTCCTCAAGAAATTAAAAATATAACTATCATACTATCCAGCAATTCTACTTTTGTGTATATATTCAAAGAAAATGAAATCACTGTCTCAAAGAGATATTTGTATTCCTATGTTCACTGCAGCATCATTTACGATATAAATGTATGGAAACATGTCATTTAATGGATCAGTGGATGAAGAAAATGTGGTATAAACACACAAGGAACATTATTCACCTTTTAAAAAGGAAATCCTCATGAAAAGATGTTCAGCGTCGCTCCTTATCAGGGAAATACAAATCAAAACCACACTCAGGTATCACCTCACGCCAGTCAGAGTGGCCAAAATGAACAAATCAGGAGACTATAGATGCTGGAGAGGAT